CCCCAAAACCCCAAAACCCCAAAACCCCAAAACCCCAAAACCCCAAAACCCCTAAGTATCTTGAGAGTATTGAATAATTGTAAATCAGAGGGTCTCCATTTCACATTGTTGTAGAGTGAATCAAGCAGTGTGTTTACTCTATGCACAATGAGCAGTCATCTTACCTTCATCGTCTTCATCATCTTCTGCTTCGACAGAGATATCTGAGACCTCTGAATCTTCTGCGCTGGCATCTTCTGCTTCGACTTCTTCATCAACTTCGACGAGAGGATGCTCTTCTTCTTCAGTGATAAGGATCTTGTTGGCTTCTTGGTTTGGAGTGTTCAGGATTGACAGAATGTTTGCAAGAGAACCTTCATTTAATTCTGAACAGAATGCTTTGAATGTGAAGTTAGTGATCTCTCTGAGAGTAGAGTTCTGTCTAGTCAACAAAGAGATCAAGAAGTCAAACAGAATTTGGTAAGCCTGGTCCTTCTCTTCTTCTTGTTGCTCAGTCATCTTTGTTCTCTTGCCAGTAAAAGCTTCTCCAATTTCGTGTTCAAGGTTGATCTTCTCATAGCTGAGCTGGATTTCAGTAAGGTCTTCTTTTGTCTCTTCAGGCGTAACTGGACTGAACAGGGCAAGAGCGTACACTAAGATTTCAAGGCCAACAACTTTCTTGAACACATGTTTGCACCTATCTTTTGTTTGCTTGTCATCTTTGCTGAGTTTGCCAAGCTTTTTATAGATTTTCTTTCTGCTCTTCTTGATGGTCGAGCCGAACTCCATGAATGCTTTGTGGACCTCTAAAGATGATTGTAGACTTTACCGAGTTTGAGTTCATGAGTGTTCTCTTTAGGCGCAGGGTTCTTTGTAGCCTTTGACTCTTCCTCTGTATCGATCTGGTCAAGAGAGTTGAACTCATTTCCTTCGAGAGCGTATCTGCCAATGGTCTTATTGATCTCGTTGATCCAGAGAGACTTGCTTTCCAAGAAAGTGTTGGTGAATGTAAGACCCAGACTTTGAGAAGTCACATCATCCTTGAACTGGACATTGGACTTTCTCTTGTGCAGACCGTCAACAAGGCCGAACAGTTTGTCTTTGGCAAACTCTTTCATCTTGTCCGAGAGGCTTTCTTGGAAGAAAGCCTGATACACCACAAAGTTGATGATTTCTTTGAGTGTTGTCTCAGAGTGATTCTTAAAGATTGTCACTGTGTTGACAATCAAGTTCAGCACAAATATTCTGATGTTGTCTTCTTTGTTAGAGTTGAGCTGTTGCTTGCCCTCTTCATCGTTGTCAGAGCTGGACTCTTCAGCCTTGTTTTCTGGATAAAACTCGTTGAGATCAGGAGTCTTGAAAAGTGTTTCACCATATGAAATGTACTCTTGGATAGACTCTTCAGGAAGATCTTCAGCAATCAGCATGTACAAGTTGAAGTTGCTCTTAAACGTGAACCTCAGCTGAGCATTTGGTCCGAAAAGTTTCTTGATGAGCTCAAGCTTGATCTGAGAATCAATATCTTGTGCATTTTCAGTGATCCATTGCTTGAATTTGTGGTCAAGTTGTTCGACTGACTCAATTCTGTTTCTTCTTCGCTTGTTGGTTCTATTGACCCACACTCTGACGAAGTTGGGAGTGAGCAGGCTCAAGATGATATCCTTGCTGATTGGGCTGTCCAAGAGGTGCTGGAAAGTGTAAAACCCAAGGTTGTTCAAACACATTTTAGCTCTCTTGTTAATATCATCAGTGTACAGCTGAGTTTCATTGAAGCAGTATTGCTCAAACACGATCTTCCACAGAGACTTTACGATTTTAGTTGAGTTAAGCGAAGTGAGGTACCCAACAAGGTATCTGACAACACTGTGAGGCCTTGGGAATGCGAACACCACGGTTTCTTGAATAAACATCTTTCTGAGTTGTTTAAAAATGTACTTGGAGTCTTCTTCGAACGACCAGTTCAGCAAAACCTGGATCTCGTCAAGCTGCCTGAAAGTCTTGGGAATGCTGCTTTGCTTGTTCTTGATGATGAAGAACAACGACAGGTAGTCGGCGTCAGTGGAGATTTTGTATTTGAGAACATCATTTGGGTCCTTCAACTCTTCAGTTGGCTTCAGCAGAGTGTACTTTAGAACTGTAGAAGTAGCTTTACCCAAAGCTTTAGGGTTAGTTTCTGACAAGTGGTCGAAGGTCTTCTCAATCGTCTTCAGAGCACTTTCTCTGAACTGGTGCTGCTGGTTGAAAATTCTGCTGACCTCAAAGAAGAAACTATTGACAAGTTCTTCTAGTTGACTCTGGTCAAGAGAATGGCTGGTTTCAAACACAGATGCTTGAGACAAAGCCGAGAATATCAAGAGTCGTCCAAATGCGAGTTCCTTTCTCTGAGATTTAGTCTTGGCTTTAGAAAGACTTGTCTTGTCCACAGCATAGTTGATGAGCTTACTGAAGTCGATTTTGTCTTTGAATCTCTGAACGATAAGAGTCAGAGCAAGGAAGTATCCTTTGACAAAGCTTTCGATTTGCTCTGTGATACCGGAGATCAACCTGTAACATTATTGGGAAGGAACTTACTTCTTGATAGTGTAGTTGAGATCAGGAGATACTTCTCCAAGATCACCTTTCATGTATCTTTCAAGCATTTTTTGAACCTTCTCATCAAGTTTGGAGTACTTGTTGATATGATCATCTTTGCTAAGAGCATCAGAGACATTCAGAGTCTCAACTATCTTTTGTGCAGACTGCTTTTTGATCGCATCATCTGGGTTTGCTAGTTCTTCAAAGTACTTTAAAAAGTTCTTATCTTCCATTGGAGTGTTAATTTTTAATAATGATTAAATCAATCAAATTTTGTGAGCTTGGGGTTTTGGGGTTTTGGGGTTTTGGGGTTTTGGGG